GAGTTGAATCGTAAGACAATATTTAAAGAAATTTTACACAACTCTACTCATCTGTCTTTCATTATTATTATTATTATTATTTTGTCTATTATTTTTCATAGGTAAGATAAGAAGATAATTGATTCAACAATTGAAAATTTAAAATGTTTACAATTATTATTATCATTATTATTATTTCGAGTATCTTTTACTTTTTATTGCTTTTTAGTAGAACTTACAACCTTAGAATTCGCGCCAAAAAGATTTATTGTGCATAGTAAATGAATGAAATTCACCCATAAGAAAAGTGATTTTATTTATAAAGAAATAATTAAAATCATCTTAATAAAGTTAAACAAAATGTGTGTTAAAAAGGAATCCAGTAAAAAAAAAGAGTAAATTATGCATGTTTAAGAATGTACAATTAAAAATAATGAAATAAAATTAAATCTCATTAAAACTGAATCATAGGAAAAAAGTTTTCGAATGTATTATGAGTTGAGATTGTGGTGGTGTTTCGTGAAAAACACTACATAGGGCAAAGTGGACGACCACTTCAGCATCGTTTACGTGAACATCACTTAGCAGTTAAACGCCATGATAATTCTTCGCTTATATCAATACATACAGACAATTGTGGACATACATTCGATTGGAACAATGTTGAAATACTGGATAGAGGGAGCACAAGGAACACTAAAGAATTTTTAGAAGCTTGGCACTCAGGTCAATTAGCAATCAACAAACACACCGACATTGACCCAATTTATCAATGAATCAGGAAAATCATAGGCGACATGGGATCAAGAAACAGGTCAAAAGAGAGATACAATCAAAACAATGGTACAAACAACAGCAACCAATCAAGACCGAGGTTAATAGAATAAGCTACGGGTCAAACGTGCAGAAATTCGAATACTTCACTTCTATTTGATGTTTGTACTGATGATGTTGTTTAGAAGAACAATGAAAGCTTCACAACCAAAACATCCAGCTCAGAGAACGAAACACCACAACAATCAACCACCTGAACTACAAATTTTCTCCACCATCATATGAGTTGAAATATTTGAAACGGTAAAAAGGAATTAATAGATCATGAGAAAAAAATTTTATTTTCAAAAAAATCAAACTACTATAATTTACACAAAATCAGTAAATATACACTTATCAATGTCCGCATTATTTCATATCAAATCTGACTGATTCAATCATTTTCAACAAGGAAAGTTGGTTGACTTGTTACACCTGTTTTCTACTTATTATAATAAACATCACTGTTATGAATATCATCTTTATTTCATGGAAACCTTGGAATCCTGATAACTTGAGTTATCCACATCTTGGCATCAATTAAAATGATTCATATTTTCATTATCAATATTATCATCATTATGAATTTACTATTAATTGTTGGTAACTATTAGTGAACTGTTGGAATGTATGTTATGCGGTGGATTATGTTTTAAATTCTTCCCAATATGAGTTTAGGCTTGTCTCGTTATAATAAACAACATCCTGTCCACAGAAGAACATTCATAAAATAATTTATGGAAATGATTAAAGATAAATTTGATTACTTCAGAAAAAAAGCTACCGTAAAACGCCTATCCAAAATGCTTTTCATGTTAGAATATTAAAGCCCGTACGAGAATTCTATCTCGGATGGATTGAATAGACTGAAAGAAATTCTGGAAGCTATTAAACTCACTGAATTTTTTTTAAGGTCCTGTGGTGAACTCATAATTAGTCTTCAGTGTAACTCTGCTTGATATACTCTTGCAATAAAAATTTTAATTAATTTCTCAGTCTCAGTTGGTTGATGCAAAAAAAAAGTGTTGAACTATAAAACCTACAATGTTAATGTATGTCAAACGATGCTAACATTCCGATAGATACGCCAAACGACTTTCCTCTACAGTTAGGTATCACTCAACTATTGCTACAATATTAATTAGATATATACCGTCTCATACATGCAACATAATACAAACTTAAACTATTTATAGTAAGGACTATTAAAAAAGATTATCTTCACTTTGGGACTCAAAATGTTTGAGAAATCGCATTTCACAGAATCATATAAGGATATGATGTAAATTTTCTGTATTGAATCTTGGTTACTTGTAAGTAGCTTAAGGTAAATCACCAAAGAATTGGAAGTGTTCTGCTGATGCCAGTTACTGAATACTTTTCCTTCAACATCAATTCTTAGCATGTAATTAATTGCGAAAATTGTTCAAACTGCATAAACTTCAGATATTTTAAATGTGAAACATTCCCATATCATATACATGGATGGAAAATAATTTGTTTAAATTGTGAATAACATGTCTCCTAGATTTATCAACTGTGAAGACCAAAACACAACACATTCATGTTTCGGCACTTTTTCAGATATTTGAAACTTATAGAGATCTGTGAATTGCTGTAGTGTTCGAGAAGTAACGAATTAATTTTCCCAAGCGACCATTGTTAAGTTAACAAACGACCCTTAAGAGTCTATCAACCTAGTCTAAAATGAACGAACCGATGCTATGGAAATCTAGTCAAACTGTAACAATCATTTCATTAGTATTATTATTACCGTTTACTTATTTTAAAGTTTAAAAGATACTAATTACGTGACAGTGTACATAAACGTTCATTAAGACCATATTATTTTATATGATAATTTTGAACCATACTTTTGATCTGAAAAGGTAATTTACAAATTCAAGTTCTTATTAGCAGTTTGTCGAAATTCTCAACCGTATGTATAATAAGCTTTAAATTTGATCATTTTAACTTTGTGAAACACGTCTACAACATGATCATATACTGAATATATACAATGAACTTGAACTGCTTCAATTTATACATATAGATTTCTCTTTTGATTTTTATGAGGTTAAAAGTGTACATTTAAGGAATTTCCCAACGACTAGTTCGTTTCTACAGACATGAATATACTTGATTCCTTAGTTAATCACGTTAAAAAAATACCGTTTTGCGCAAGTCAGCTACGAAGCAGAACTTCGTACTTACATACATCACTTCAAGCTGTCATACTACATAAGCATAGAAAGATGGAATCGTCAAATCAAACACCAGAGTTGTAGGAGTATTAGTACTATTAGTAGTATAGGGAAAGATTAGGGTTCGAAGATCAGATTCAAGTATAATCTAGCGAAATAAATTTTAAAAAAAGGGTAAGGTGATGAAGAATCCAGAGGATTAAGATTTGACAGAACACAAAGAATGAAAGCACCTGCACCATTGCAAACGGTTCGGAGCCATGTCATCGGAAGTCTCTAACCATCGATTACTATCATCTCGCGGACCACAACCCGGTAGTTGACACCTACCGACATGACTCAGTCCACTTGACAGTGACTTCATGGATTTGTGCCATGTTTCGGTCTGGCCGCCCCTAGCTTTCTTCCAAACTGTTCCCACATCGCAAAGCATCGCTCGACGAGGCAGTCGGTGGTTAGGCACACGCAGCACATGTCCCAAACACCCCAACTGAAGAAGTTTCACTACTTTGATCTGCTATCCTTACATAGTACTCGTTTTCTAACAACAGCATTGCTTACTCGGTTGTCCCACAATACACGAGCAACGCTTCGGAGACACCTACGAATGTCTTCTACTCTCACCGGCCATCTCTCGCATCCGTATAGTAGGACGGAGCAAACTGTTGTGCAGTACATTCGTCCTTTGGTTAGCAAACGGATATCTCTCCTACGCCATAAGTCATACAGGTTGGCGAAAGCCAATCGAGCTTTCTGTATCCACGCTGAGATTTCGTCAGCCACCAGACCATTAGCACAGATGAGATTCTCGAGTTGAGTGAAGCGATCGACGCGCTCAACTGCTTCACTTCCTATCACTAGTTCAGGTGCTGACGCAAGCCAATCCTGAAGCAACGTTTTGCATTTCGAGGTGGAAAACAGCATCCCGAACATGCTTGAATTGTTGCTTTGGGTGATCAGAACTATGTCATCAGCATACTCTAAGTCAGCAAGCGAGTCTCCTGGTAAAAAGTCTACTCCTGTGAAGTCAGACGAAGATAAAGTTATATTTAGAAGCAAGTCTATGACGAAATTAAACGAGAACGGGGAACGTGGACATCCCTGATGGACACCACTTGAAGTAACCCATTTCGATGATAGTTCTCCATAAGCTCTAACTCGGTCAGTCGTGTTTGAGTAGAGCCTGTATATAAGGTTAATGCACTTTTTTGGTACTGTAGTGAAGGAGAACACAGGTGACGGCAACCGAATTGTATTTATCTCAAATCACAGAGTTAATTGGTAAAATAGGAAAACCATATCGTAAATCGTTAATTTACAAAATATCAATTTATCATATCGAACTGGACCGTTCCTGTTGCAAAACATCAATCCACTGTCTGACATTTCACTGTTCATGCGTTTCATACAAATCCCATTGTGTCCCCGCTCGTCCTTTCTTGATCTTCCCCCATCTTCTGCTGCCAGACATTACGTTTTTACTCGCGTCATATACTACTTATAAGTAGCGCGCACCACAGTACATCTTTTAATGACAGATATCGCCACAAAACCTCACGATCAAAAGAGTCGAACACAGCCTTAAGTTCAACGAACCCAACTATTATGGGACGTTTCATGTGATTCTCATGCATCAGTATACTGTACATTAAAACACATATAAGAACTTTTCATCTACAGAACGATTTTCAATTCACTTATATAATAATGGATGGTCAAGGTTTTTGTCACTAACTTTATCATATTTAGAAAAATTATGTTTCCGAAATAGTTTTCAGTGAAGTATGTCTAAGTTATCGCTCGGCATTAAGTAAACCTGTCATATTTTTTACACCTACAAAATCCAAAGCTAATTCCAGATACTAGTGAACACTACAACAAGTTTTTATTTTCGTATATCAATATACACTATGTATTGAGTATTGTGGTATACAACAATTTCTAAGTAAAGATCAATCTGTTGTAATTTATAACACAAAACAAGATAACACTGATAGAAATGTACATCACACAACTATAATTAACACTTAATCAGAATACTTTTTTGGATTTGAGAATGTTTTTTTAAGAAAATAAAATATTTATATTTATACACACTGAATAATAAGTCTTTATCAAATACGGTAGAATTTACATGAACTTCATGAACAAAAAAGGGATTATACAGGTATCATTAAACTATTTATGCACTATTTAATAGTAGCCTCTGGTATAAACAATAACAGTGAACACATAAATACTGATTATTTACAAATTTAGGTAAACGAATTTAATGGAACATATTTGGATTAATCTTTCACAAAGTCACAAAACTGAAAACCATACCGTTTTTTTATATGCATACAATAATATGGTATGTATGGAAAGAAATGCAGAATGAAGAAAATAAGTGAATTATATTCTTTGAGTTTAAAATGAATGCTTCTAATAGGAATGTGCCGGGGGGGAGGTGAATACGATCTTTTTTACATAAATTCATCCGTATTGATAACATTATATACTTCTGTTACAAACATTGAAGCATTAATTTTAATTGTTGTCCAATAAACGACTAGTTGCGGGTCGAACTAAAAATTAGGAAAATTCACATACAAAAATGAGTATACAGTTTAAATAATAAACTGGATTGAAAACAAAATTGAGTTCGTCAAACATTTATTCATTTTTTTAAGTACAAACTATTAATACAAATGATCTATACATCATTTACTGATGTAGGCTAAACGTGTGAATCCGATTCCACTTACTTTATCTTGAACAATAGGACAGAATCACTAACCCTCATAGTCAGTCACTCATAATCACCGTAGAACCTGGCAAACATATGCATTGATCCGAGTCGCCATGCCAGGCTATCACAACGAGATTAGATTAACAAGAAAAATTGTGAATCTCTAAATGGTGTAGCAGCGATGACAGAAAGGAAGAATAACCTTCAAGTAGGAATACCCGAACTCAAAATCTAGAGATAAACAATCAGTGAATTAATGCATCAGTATAATCGAGACATGTCACACAACGTCTCGAGCCATTAATCCAGGCTATAATTTTCATCTACTAACATGACTCGCACCAACAGCTAATAATTTTATGAACTGGTGCTATGTGATTTATTTTATTCTTCCATTTCTACTAGCATTTATTCAACACCTTCCTTACTTATCTTAGACACATTTCTTTCTGGAATTTTATCACCACTTATTTGTTAAGATTTGAAAAATAGTAACCTATTTTTTTCACGCCAATCGTTAATGCATATTCTCGTTTGGAAAAATCGTAAGTTATTTTCTCATAGACAGGACAATAATTTGACTCTTACTTGATTCCAGAACAGGAATTTCTTTGATTTGCACTACTGACGAAGCATATGAACACTCAGACACCCGTTGTTTGGATGTTTATGAGTTTTCTATCGTTATTTTATTTTGCTTAATAGTCTCATACTTGATTTGTAGTGTGTGTGTACAAATGTGTGGAGCCCACAGAGCTTGTCCCAGCCTTCGCACAAATTAACTAATTCATTTTATCCAAGTCATTATCCACACGTTTTTTGATCTTGTCAGTCATTCAGTCATAAACTTGGTTGTTTCTACTCACGTGCGTATGTGCATACTTACTCCACTTATCACATGTTTAGCTTATTTTTTTCTGACTATAAGTACTAAATCATGCCTCGTCTCAATGGGTCGGCTCACTCGCCATCTCCACCTCGCTTCATTCTGCATTTACGCTTCGCATTCTCATTTCTGTCTGTGTGAATGATTGCTAAAAATAAATTCTTTCGTTTCTTATTACCGCCGTCGCACAAACAGGGTTTGCTTAAGTACGATATACGGAAATTGAAGGGAAGATCTATTACGTAGCGTATCCAATCATTCGTACAAATTGGAGTCAGATCGCGGGACACTAAAGCGATGAGCCCTACTTCGAATAAGAAGCAGCCACTAAATACTTAAAGCTCTTTATGAATAATTCCATGGTTCAGTTATCACCAATAATTGTGAACCCTTTATAAAGGTTATAAGTTTTACAATAAATTTGAATAGGACATCGTTTATTCGAACACAAGTTTGACACAATTTGTTTTAAAATTGTCTATAATGACAAATTAAAGATAATTAAGTAGAGTGAATTATTTAACACAATAATACTACAGCTTATAAGGAGTTAATATACACAAATGGGTTTTTTACCATTATTTATAGATATTCTCATATATATATATATATATATATATATATACATATATATATATATATATATAACTAGATTCAAATCAGGAATAAGCTTCAGTCAGTCAGTTAGAACACATAACTTCGTACGCAAGTACATCAATTCAAGTCACCATACCATACTAGCACAGAGACACAATTGTCAATTCAGATCCCATAGTAGTAGAAATAGTAGAAGTATTAGCAGTAATGGAGATTAGTGATCGAATATATTATTTGAGATGTATACCCCAAAGGAATCAATTAAATAGAGAAAAAACTGTCAAGGGGAATTCAGAAGATTAGGATTTGAGAGAACACAACGAATGGATGCACCTGCACCACTGCAGGTACACAAAGCCGATTATATAAATATAAAGAGATCACTATAGTTGATCGTTGATAATATATCACCCTTGTCGACCTAAGTAATGTTTAATCAATCTCTGATGTATACTGTCGAAGAAATTTCAAAACGGGTATTATTCATATGTAAGGGTTTGAGTCTCAAGGTTGTTAGTATCAGGCACAGCAACTGGTCGATCTTTATAATTATAAGTGCATCCTGAACGAATCCCCTCAATACTGGTCTTTGATTAAAAGTAAACTTGGACATAGTTTCAATGATTTAAAATAAGAAATCCCTCATACAGTACCACAGATTTAAATTAATTATTCAACGTTTCAATCAACATTATCATATCACTAATAATTATTCAAACAACATCTGACTGAAAGGATAAAATAATGTTACCGATAATAATAAATGTCAAATGAAAACCAAAGTAATGATAGTTGTAAGCAAGAATTTCTAATATGATTTCAATTTTTTTTTGATTACTCACCAGATATCACTGCTTCGCTTAATTGGCGTTTTATCGTTATACCCGTTTTCGTAGCTGAAATATTAGTGATGCTATTATTACTATTAGAAGTAGTAGTAGTAGCAGTCGTGGTAGTAGTACTAGCAGCAGAAGAAGAAGAAATAAAGGAAGACGATGGAGCCGATATATGGCGTTTACGATCATTCAATGATGATTGAGAAATAAATGCAGATAAACTAGATGTATTGATAGAAGTTTTAGCTGAATTATTGTTGTTAGTAGAGTTACTTTTAAACGATTCTATTTTTTGTGCGGATGATTCAATAATCACTCTAGGTGTATGTATAAGTTGAATATTTCTAAGAGGAGTAACTTCTACATTCGAAACGGTTGGACTCTTAACTTCATTAATTATCACAGGTTTATTAACAACTGTTCGGATGGTTGGTCTAGTTCCAATTAGTGGAGTTTGACGCAATTGCTACATTGAATTGTATTTAAAAAAAAAAGTAATGCACACATAAATAAAATAGGATCAGTTTAAAATAGGCAGAACATCTAAGTTACAGTTATTTATTGGTTATTTTCATACTTAAAACAATTGTTACAAATGAATTATGTGAATAACAAGTATTTAAAATAAAATAGTATTTTACAGAAACCGATTTATCCCAATCAACCAAATAATTGGAATTTACTGTCATCATATTATGCAAATACGAAACACATATTGTGATATTCTTACCCATGGATTAAATCTTATGCGATATTCATATGATCTATGCAACAAATTGATAAGAAGCAGCTTAAATAGGAGATAATATTCCAGATGATGTGGAAAATACTCCTCTATTTCAGATTCTGATTTATGTTAGCAATATGATTTGGATAAGTTTTTTGGATAGTTTATTCCACGGTGTATACCATTTAACCTCATCTTTCAGTTGTAATTTTTGGTTGGTTAAAAATCTTTACAAATGTTTATGGTGAGGTGTTCTGGTCATAGTGTTACGCAAGCGCGTCAACATGTCAATTTGGTAAGCCTGAACTATTACGAGTTTACCTTAGTCAGTAAACGAGAGCGAGGATCGATGATCCGGCGACACGACATGCTACCCCTTCCATTCAGTAAAAGAAGACTTGATATGAAGTAGAACAAGTATTCTACAAGTATCCAGAAAGTACGAGGTCCAAGTCCAGAAGAGGCTACGGATGCCGGACTTGGGATCCGGGTCATAAGACGTTACATATAGTTCATATTCATTCAGTTAGGTCGAATAGGAAACAACATTGAAGTATGTGACAATGACAGTTGGGACGGCCAATAGGAATCAACCAATAGAATTAAACTTACAAACAATTCTCTTAGGATATTGAATGAATATCCTAACACATACAGGTTGGTGAAGCCTCGTCCGGAATGCCAGGTCGTGCTTCTGGAAAAAAGTATGTTTTCAGAGTTACACAGGCTCGCAGAGTGAACTTGCTTCTTGGGGAACCGCTACCCCGAGGATCTTGGCACGCAGGTGTCGTACCGAGATCAAGTATATGCTACATGCATATCAGAAACGTATGAGTTTTTACCTAATATACATCATGACATACACATAGGCATAATTATTCCACAAATCAGTTATACGTTACGTGCACACTGCGAACACACAAGTTCTCAGCTATGCATCCCTTGGTAAACACGTTCATACATATTAAGTGGTCTTTTCAACTTTCGCTTGTGAGCCTCGAGGACTCTGTTAATCAGTTACGACTTTGGAGAAGGGTGATTAGTCTGACCTCCGCCGAAGTTAGTTAACAGGGTTTCCCCATTATCCAGCTGCGCCACAAAACCTTAGATTGGATTTCGCACTTTTAATAAATAATAATAACGTCTTCTGATATTAATGTGGCATCAGATAGTGAAAGCAATCATATTTGCTGTCTATTGATGTTATTTGATGCGATCTTTTAACATCATATCATTCCACTCGGTTGCAAGACGGTGATTATAATCAGATCACACTGATCGACGCTGCATTGTGTAAGTTTGATGCTCCAAATTGCAATAGGAAAGATAATCATCTAGGTTATGTATGACTTTTGATTTGATAACAAATTAATAAATATAGTTATCTCTTTATAAATATGACTGTTATGATGAGCGATGTCAAAAATCTGAGCGTATAGACGCGCTAATTCCCACCCGGCCCTCCTTTAAAAAACTGGCTACTTGAGCAAGAAGGCAACAGAGGAAGCAAAAGTCTCTTCGGTTACCGAATCATGTACATAAATACTCAATTATATACATACATTTCTCCCATTTAGAAAATGAATCCATTTCTTGGTCATTGATATGAATTTGTCTTTTAGGACATTTCTAATCGTCAACCAGTGACCTCATCTGACCACTCCTGGTTGGCTCACTACATCAATAGCCTTCATTTATAAAATACTAATAGAAATATACATGTGTATATATGAACGACAGCTTACTTTAATACGCTTACTGACACTTTCTCCATCGCTCGATACAGATACAACAGGATTTGTTTTATCAGCAACAGTAGCCGCCGCTAATGCCATTACTTCATGCCGAGAAAGCATAATGACAGGCCTTTGTGTTCCAGGTTCAGAAGACTTAATTAATTAAACAGGAAATAATGAAATACTTCACACTGAATGTTAAAAAGCACAAGGTTAGTTATGTAATATTCCAATTAAGTCACAAGGTTGAAGAACAAATATCTTATTATACACTGCTATAAAACAGCCGTCATTATATATGATATTCGTTTTATAAGTCAAATCTAATTGCCAGAAAATATTAGATATAATGTAACACGGTAATCAGTTTGATTATTTAAACTTACATTAATTAATTTAATTTACTCCTCAAACGATTATAGCTCCCATATAAATACACTATGAGGCCTTTGTCAATATCACAAGCTGAAGCATAGATTATGAGCTCGAAGATTATTGTTCTGATGTACGGTGTCCAGGTTTGATATCTTCTCGTAAACGACCCCAACACGGCTCAAAATCGTCTGCAGTGGCACAGGTGCATTCATTCTTTCTGTTTTCTCAAATTCTAACCTTCTGAATTCCTCATCACCTCTATCTCTTTTTAAACTTATCTCACTGGCCTAGGCTTCTCGAATAATATTTTCAAACCCTAATCTTCTGAATAACTGCTAATACTTATACTATTTCTACTACTATGGGATTTGAATTGACAATTATGTCTCCGTGCTAATGTGGTGTAGCAACTTAAACTGGTGTACGTAAGTACGAAATTCTACGCTAGAACTGACTGACTGAAACGAGCCCAACTGACCAGTCAAATAAGATCAGAAGTGAAGACGAGGTTTATTGACCATACAGAATCGGTTGGTATGTAATGATTACACTAGTACTAGTACCCCAGAAAATCAAGCCATTAATCGTATCTCACTCCTTAGAATATCAAGCTGTTTCGGCTAATCACGTGCATGCATCGGCTGGCCGATTTCTGATTGGGTTATTTTAAAAATCAAACCTGTTACGAACAGGCTGATACACCTTTTGCGAAACCGCTAATTGTTTGTGATAGAGGAATAAAGTACCAGAGACTTTAATTTATTTAATGAGTTAACGTTTAGGGAATTACCCCCAAATATACTGAATCCTAAATTCATTAATTTCTAAGCGTAAAACTTTGCTAACCTACACATCTTTTAACACATTCCTGATTTACAGGAATTTTCAATTTTTTAAACCTATCTTACTCCTACGATTAGGCATACTTAAGAAAGGGAAAAAACGAAGTCAATGTATAAATAAAATGAAGATGTAGTTTATTATTACCACTCAAAGTGGAGTCAAAACTAAGAGGTTTATTCAATGAACTAAAAATTGGATCTAAATTCCGTAAATGTTTTGGCTTTATCGGGGAATTCGGAAAGCCTTAATAACTTTAAAATAACAGAGGTTAGGCGTTCGCGTGCAAGACTGAAGGTCTCTATAACTTTAATTGAAAAAAGAAGCACCATAATAAAGGACGCGAACTTGTAAGCAGTTATCTAACAAAATATGTAGCGAATCACTGTATTATATGCGTTATAACATATAATTTAAAATTTAAACCACAACTTCTTTACTAAAACAGCAGCATCCTGATTTGAAGCTAAATATCTATAAATATAACTCTAGAACTATTATGTGTTCGAGATAATTATGAGTGGTGAATGAGTATGGACTATCGAAATGAATGAACAGAATATTTATGGATAAATGAACTCAATGGTACAATGTGATCGGATGATATTTGCTCACAACACTAGATCATAGACTCAAGTACCTGAATAAACTAGTATCAATGAAAGGTCATTAACCCGGAAAACCTCAACTGTAGCTGCTACATTGACGTGATAGTTGGACTTGCCTATCGTGATGATCCAACCGAGCTATATTGGCTGGAACATATATTCCTGCAGGTCCTACCACGTTAAACAGATCAATTAGAGAATGTCAGGAATAAAAGTGGCAACTCAAGGTCCGAGGGTGAAGTTGTACTGCTGACTGTAGAGAGGTGTGAGAGCAGTAAGGTGTTTCCTTAGGACAACCAGCATCTACAGCAATGCTGCCTTCTCAAAACGGAATAAAACGGGTTAGAAAAGGTCGATCTCTAAATTGTCATGCCTCAACTTACCCCACGGATTTCCGTCTTTAGCGGTAAGGCCTTTTGAAGAGAGGAGCGAACACTCAAAAGACTACCCATAAAAAGGTGGTGCGTGACCGGCCTGAAGCAGTTGTCCGTTGGGCTCTGCGGTCACGCTCCCAAGCAGTTAAGACCAACGCTAACGCAACTCCCTTTTCCTCAAAAAACACCCTTCCACGGTGTGGGCAGCCGGGAAGCAACATACGTCGTCAAATACCTAACGGCACACGAGATCAAATGAGCCCGAAGGATAGATATTTTATCGTAAAAAATGAAGGTCTATGTATCAACAAACTACTTATTGCATAAACAAACATTTTTATCACCAACAAAAACAGCCTTCATCAAACTTTATTAGAGAGGACTTGAGCACCATTATCTAACAAATTGAAAAAACAACCGAATTTTTACAGGAATATTAAGTTTATCATTTATCTGAGTCTTAGGCTTGATCAATAATCACAAATTAACTTACAGCATTTTTAACTGGTAAGCAATGATTTTGAACATGGGTATCCACACCATTTGTTACGACTCCCTGAGTTTTAGACAAAATAAGTAAAATTATTTTACCTCATCATTCATCAAATTAAACAAGAAAGAGCACACAAAACTTTTAAGCTTTGAATAGGATTTTTCACTGAGTTCAATATTCATTTCCTGAACAAACACAGACGTCAGTTCATTTAGCGTGCATAAACTACAGATGAAGTTCGTAATTATCAAGAAATTGTACTTACGACAATAATCGGGGATCTTCATTGAGTACAGTTAGCAAGAATAATCTCATATGATCACGAATACGTGAGCCCATATTTTGAAAACTACCACAAATTCGATGGATTTAGGTCGATCAGCAGCTCTTAGTAATTTAAGCAGCTTTCTACGACGTATCTAAAACAAAAGAATAGTTTGATCAAAATTAAATAACATGATTCGGTCGATTTCGATTTAAAAATGAGCTGGTGTTATATTTGCTTATCCTGGAGCACCTGTTTATATTCAGATCATGCTCTAGTGCGAGAGCGTATTTGTTTGCGATTTACTGGACGTCGGAAAGACTCTTAGGGTTCTACGTAATGATAACAAAGCTAAGAATATATTTCAGGAACAATTAAGAAAACAGTTAGGCAGCCATATAGTAAGTGAAGCCTACTCTGAGGCAGCCTGGAACGATATCCAAAAAGCTGTGGAAAAAGCAGTGATATCTACTGGCAAGGTAAACCATAAGGTTAAGGAGAAGTGGTGGATTTCATTAGCATCTACGGAACTGATTGATGCTCAAAAACTCATTTCGTCTGGCCATGAGTACGATGAGGAGCGGAGTCGGCTTAGGCTCAGGCTGATAAAAAGCCTATGCAACAACCGTGAACAGTGGTGGGTGGAGAAAGCAACAGAGATGGAAAAGGTAGCAGCGATAGGCAACAGTAGACAACTGTTCAGACTTATCAAGGAAACCGGTATTAGGAATCCGAATGTGAGACTATCTCAGAAAAGGATCGGCTTATTATTCATTCTCAATCGAGGAGATTGGATCGAAAGGCAGAGCACTTTAGGGATCAGTTCAACTGGCCTCGAGCCACACTTCAGTTACACACGATCTCCAGTCAACCTGAATTGCAAGTCCTCCGACTCTTCATAAAGTTGAGAAATACGTAGGAAACCTGAAGAGAGGGAGAGCAGCAGGATCTGATAGATTGACCCCTGAGATTTTTAAATATGATGGTCCAGTTTTAGCAGTTACATTGACTGAGATAATATGTAGAATTCAGGAACTGGGTGTAACTTCAATCTGACTGGTCTCAATCGCTGATTGTCCCATTTTATAAGAAAGGACAAAAGTCCTCCTGTGACAATCACAGGGAAATAAGTCTAACTAATATAGTTTCTACATTGTTAGCCTCAGTTATCCTTAGACGCTAAACTAGAGCTCGTGAAGAGCAGACTAGAGAAAACCTGGCTGGTTTCTGACCTGGACGTGGCTGTAGAGACCTTTTACCTGGTGGCTCGCTTATTGACTTAGAATATGCCGATGACATAGTCCTACTTGGTGAAGACGCTGACAAAATGCAGAGTCTTCTGACTACCATAAGCAACAATGCGAGCATGTTCGGGATGCGGTTTTCCCCCTCGAAATGCAAAATGTTGTTTCAAGACTGGGTTGCATCGGCACCTGAACTAGTGATAAGGAGTGAAGTAGTCGAACGTGTAGACCGCTTCACTTATCTTGGGAGTCTCATCAGTGCCGATGGCCTGGTGACTGACGAAATCTCAGCTCGGATACAGAAGGCTCGATTGGCTTTTGCCAACCTGCGTCACTTATGGCGTAGGCGAGATATCCGTTTGCTGACTAAAGGACGAGTGTACTGCGCAGTAGTTCGCTCCGTCTTACTTTACGGCTGTGAAACATGGCCAGTGAGAGTAGAAGATATTCGTAGGTTACTAGTTTTCGATCATAGGTGTCTTCGAAGCATTGCTCGTATATCGTGGGACAACCGAGTGAGCAACGTTGTTATCAGGAAACGGGTGCTAGGTAAGAATGGCAGATCAATCGATGAAGTATTGAAACTTCACCAGTTGAGGTGGTTGGGACATGTGCTGCGCATGCCTAACCACCGACTGCCTGTTCGAGCTTTGTTTTGTAGTGTAGAAGTAGGTTGGAAGAAAGTTAGGGGCGGCCAAACCAAAACATGGCACAAATCCATGAAATCATTGACGAGTGGACTGAGCCATGTCGGTAATTGTCGACTACCTGGTTGGGGTCCGCGAGATGATAGTAATCGATGGCTAGAGACCTTGAATGACATGGCTCAAAATCGTTCGCAATGGCGCCGGTGCATTTATTCTCTGTGTTCTCTCAAATCCTAATCTTCTGGATTCTTCAACAACTCTAGTTTTGTCTTTCTAAACTTATCTCAATGAATCATACTTCTTGAATAATATCTAATCCTAACCTCTCCGATTACTTCTAATACCCTTACTACCTCTTCTACTATTGGACTTGAATTGACAATTACATCTCTGTGCTGATGTGGTATGGCGACATGAACTGACGCACTTACGCACGAAGTTCTACGTTGCATCTGACTGACTGACTGACTGATTGTATAGACCAGACATTCACATTGCGACTGATCCTGGAACACAAACATTTAGGAGTCAGACAATAATTGTCTTCCTGGAGCTTAAAGCGGCATTTGACTCTGAGGATCGCGAGGTTCTATGGTGATGTCTGTCATTAAAAGGTGAACCAAAGAAGTGCACTAACCTTATATACAGGCTCTCTACTAGAACACGACTGATCGAGTTAGAGCGTATGGAGAACTGTCATCGGAATTCTCTACTTCAAGTGGTGTCCATCAGGGATGTCCACTTTCCCCGTTCTCGTCTAATTTTGTCATAGACTTGCTTCTAGACATAACATTATTTTCGTGTGAACCTTCAGGAGTAGACCTTCTACCAGGAGGATCGCTTACTGACCTAGAATATGCTGATGACACAGTTCTACTTGGTGAAGACGCTGACGAGATCCAGTCTTCTGATCACCCTAAATAACAATCCAAGCATATTCGGGATGCTGTTTTCCACCTCGAAATGCAAAACGTTGCTTCAGGATTGGCTTGCGTCAGCACCTGAACTAGTGATAGGAAGTGAAGCAGTTGAGCGCGTCGATCGCTTCACTCAACTCGAGAATCTCATCTGTGCTAATGGTCTGGTGACTGACGAAATCTCAGCGTGGATACAGAAAGCTCGATTGGCTTTCGCCAACCTGTATGACTTATGGCGTAGGAGAGATATCCGTTTGCTAACCAAAGGACGAATGTACTGCACAGCCGTTTGCTCCGTCCTACTATACAGATGCGAGACATGGCCGGTGAGAGTAGAAGACATTCGTAGGTTACTAGTATTCGATCATAGGTGTCTCCGAAGCGTTGCTCGTGTATTGTGGGACAACCGAGTAAGCAATGCTGATGTTAGAAAACGAGTACTATGTAAGGATAGCAGATCAAAGTAGTGAAACTTCTTCAGTTGGGGTGGTTGGGACATGTGCTGCGTGTGCCTAACCACCGACTGCCTCGTCGAGCAATGCTTTGCGATGTGGGAACAGGTTGGAAGAAAGCTAGGGGCGGCCAGACCAAAACATGGCACAAATCCATGAAGTCACTGACAACAGGATTGAGTCATGTCGGTAAGTGACTGACTGACAGGTGTTATATTTGACGCTAACTGAATCATACGTAGTTCACTTCTTAATTGGATGCTTCAAGTACAGAACAGAAAAATATATCGATTTCTATTTTCCGAATTGCTTAATGTTTAAACATGCTTCAATTGAAAAAATCCGTAGTCAGTATCATAGGTCCATTAACATAAATGATAGAATCAATTCTTAAACTTTACTTTGATGATTGGATTGAAAACATAGCAAAATAATGAAACCTGTGAAGACATATAAACATTATCACCGTGATAGCAGAAAAATTATCCTGTAGAAACAAAATCTCTTTAATATTGTGTGATCACCATACCTAGACTCTTCTGAAGTCAATTATTTTTTCTATTTTACTACACAGTTTAAATTCTCAGAAAAAATAACTATTTTCTGATAAGAGCACAACTATACGTTTCGTATTAACATTGATAATCTTGAGGACAAAAATAAAATTTCATCATTTTAATAGCTAATATCTGAGTAACAGCTAGCGACTTGAAACCCAAGTTAGAATAGAAGAATCTAAAACAGAGAATTATTGTTACGGATGAATCGAATGTTTTCCTAAGGAATGGAGAAAATAAGTCGCATCCTACACAAACCATCCATGCAAAAGCAAACGTGATCAGTATAATGTTAACCAAACTTGCCAGGAATAATGTACGTTCAATGGAAACATCCTACGGTGACTATTAGCCGATTTCACAAACAGTAAGCAATTACCCATAGTGCAATTAATTGTAACACAGAAATGTTAACTCCATCAGTAGCACACAGATTTTTCCCACTATATGATTACATTTGTCTGAAACATTACAACCTAATTGAATCACGACAATAAACAAATGAAGGTACTACATTCAGACGGCAGCTATCAGTGTCAACAGAGTGATAAAATTCTCTGTCTCATATAAACCATACGATTATAGGTGTCAATCTCACCCTATTACCATACGCCTTGAGCTGGTCACTCTGATATATAATAAGATCTATTACCAGTACCTCATTAATATCCTCGGTTTTCGCTTTCAACTAGTTTCAGTGAACTTGGGAATTGAACTGTTAAACAGAATATTGGAAACACCTAGAACTCTTACCTGAGGAAAGAACGAGATGCATCGCAGTTATTTACTTCTATATCAATCCGGAAGACACCATAGTCGCTCTAACGAATGTGTCTATAAATAAAGTATAAAGAATTTTGTTAAAGACATAGATATCCAATCCTAATAGGGGGGTCTGATGAGTAACTCATTTACTTTTATGATAGTAAAACTAGAATACTTTTAAGCCACAAATTTCAGCCAAAATAGTTTTAACTTGCAAGAAAATGTTTGAAAAAAGGACAGAAAATTAACCGTTTCGGAAAAATGATTTACTGGTAGTTCTTGCAGTTCCATTAAGGTTACTTTTGATAATGAACTGTTTTAGTTCCTCCAGATTTATGAAATAAATTATCAAACCAGGTGAATAGCATCCAAACGGTTTTCCAGAGGTTGGTGTTTTACCTAAGCTTCAACAACTGTACGAGTGCTACTGTGTGTTCCTTATAAACTTTGAACTTCAATCTATTGGTATACATTCTCATTTATCGTCAATGCATTGTCAGATAATTTAACATTCAAGGATTGAACGGGAAAATCTGTTTTCATGCTTTAAATGAGATGATGCGAAGCTTTGGAAAGTGACAAAAGCTCCAGCTATGAAACTGATTGAAAATACTCTCAGAACAGCTAGCTCCACATTGGTTTAGTTCAGGCTTTTTCTATAAGGTTTAAGATAATGAGAAACTAGGGGATTGGAACCTATTCCTGTTTGTGATACAAGCACTCCCGGGTTGCTCAAACTGCACTTATCTGAAAAACCACTAATAGTTTTAATAATTGGCTTACTTGGGCTTGACCATAGAGTTGTGGGCGAGTAAAATATGCTGTGGTCATATACGTCTTAATACGGAGGAACCAATAAACTACTCGATAAACTTTCTATTATGAATAAGCAGTGTAGGAAGGACCCTGACAATTGTTTTTGATCTGCGTCTGATAGTGAGACCTGACGGTTTTGTGAGGTTTACAGGTATTCTAGTCAGTCACAAGACGTCACCTGAATAAAATATATCTAAATGTGCTTGAGTAATATTATTTCAAAAATACGTTTGAAACAACTGTATAGGACTGGCTAGTCTTCCTTTATCTAGACAAGCCCAAACCATAACTTTGAGTTATTTTGGGCATCTACATGGATGTCAGGTTTGTGTTAAAGGGATTTTTAGTGTTCCTTCACATACCTTAGTTTACCCAGAATCAAGACAGAGCCAGCGGTTTCACAGACTGGTTACAGTGTTAAAGTGTGTCTCTGAAGTTCGTCGTCAGTAATCATCAAAATTACACAGTGTATGGGCTTGACTTTTGCAAATGATAAAGGTGGACGCTTAATAAATCTCTTAGTGGTTATTGAAATGTTTTTAAATATATGCAGAAGCTACAGTTGACATGAAGTGCTACTAAACCAAATTATTAAACCTATATAGTTAACTTCATCAAAAACTATAAAGAAAACCCAAGTGATAACAAACCACTTTATGATCTAACACTCACTCTAAGATCAAAGCTTGACAGTTGGTCTATTTCGTTATTAACTCCACATATTCAAGCAGTCTGAATTAGTTCAAAAGTTTCATTTAAGTTGTTTTTTCTGTTAGTACATTTAACTAAAGCAACTATCGTAAAATTTTACTACGAGATTGCGATATGAGATAATCAAGCTCTTGAAAGTAAACTTGATGGGTCCCAAGTAAAGATATTTTGTACGAAACAGTGGTTGGAAGAAAGTTAGGGGCGGCCAGACTAAAACATGGCAGAAATCCATAAAGTCACTGACAAGTGGACTGAGTCATGTTTGTAGATGTAGGCTACCTGGTTGGGGTCCGCGAAACGATAGTAACCGATGGTTGGAGACCTTGAATGATATGGCTCAAAACCGTTTGCAATAACGCAGGTGCATTCACTCATTGTGTTCTATCGAATCCTAATCTTCTGGATTCGTCAACATCTCTACTTTTGTCTTTCTAAACTTATCTCGCTGAATCATACTTCTTGAATAATATTTAGGAACCCTAATCCTCCCTATTACTAGTAGTACTCCTACTATCTCTACCACTGTGGGGTTTGTATTGACAGTTGCGTCTCCATGCTAATGTGGTATGGCAACATGAACTGATGTGCTTGTGTACCAAGTCCTACGTTGCATCTAACTGACAAAACAGTGGTGTAGTAGGATCAAAATATATAATACTGAGTGTTCAGTAACGCTCGAAATATTCTCAGTACTTAAGATAGATCACCAAACACTGAGAACCTAATTTCATCGCCTTACGCTTTAAGGTGATCAACGCGGATAATGTGTGAATTAAGTTTGGGTAGAGTGAGTGTGGTAGTTTGTGCTCTCTGTAATTCTTTCCAATGCCAGACTAAATCCAGATTTGATGGGAGTCTTTTAAATATTTAATTTTATTGAGTCGCGGCTTGGTAAGACAGGCTACGGGATTCTGGAACTGTAAGGTTTCCGCTAAGTGAAGAATCTACTTAGCTCCATGCAACCTTGGTTAGTCATGGTTAGATAACGAGTGGTAACTATCTAGTAACTACACGGCTCATAAACCTACAGCGACATACTTCTGAACATCTGCAATAATTAAAAATTTATTTTGTTCTTCATTTCGAGGAGCTTGACATTCTGAATAATTTTTGGTTAATCACAGAAAATGTGAGGGAATTTAGACTATTAATAATAATTTACACTTTCTCCTTACAATACCTATCATAAGAGCCTATTTTAATGCTTGATTTCTTAAGAGTGTAAGCACTTAATGTAGGCGAGTGTCACACAGCACGTGCAATCACCATATTAATAATTGCGTCCAAACTAAGTGAATCTCATATAGACATATCATGACAACTATATGCTATCTTCATAAAATAAATCAAGTTCAAGTACAAAATAATGTCTTCCCATATCTAGGTAGTCATTACATATGTTAGCTTACAAAAAACCATGAAATCAAATGACCTTGACCTACAATGCAAATTTTCCGCGACTGTGTGAGTCAAACGTTATCGTTTCTTGGGCAGTAATATCATACAGTAACTTCTTCATAGGGTATGAGTTTTTGGTTTTAAAGAGACATATTTTTCACTGGGTACTCCAATCAAATATTTTGGCCAAATGGTTCCAGGTGTGAATGGGTTGGAGAGTTCGCTAACAAAATTGCTTGTTAGCAACGATGTTTCACTGACGTTTTTTAGTAGGAAAGCATGAAAGGAGTAAAAATGCCAGAAGTTTCATTAAACTAGTGTTAAATACTAGTTTTTGTCCTCTTCAAGGACTTCAGACTAGTATGTTGACCGACTTCAGGCTATTAGAAATTTCATGGCATAGCATCTCTTCAGGACTGGGGCCGTATAGTTAAGAGGAGATGCCACCACATTACTTTCCCAATAGAATCAATGAGATTTTCATTCGATTCCGAAACAAGTGGAGTTGCTAGGAGTCCTTAGTGCAGTGGCTAACTGAAAGTGAAATCAAAAAGATGCTGGCAGAAAGTATTTAGGAAACACATGAAGTAACTACAATATGTTTAATTCATTCTAAACAAAAGCAAAGGGGAAGTATACCAACAGACCACCAAATGGTTGTAAGATTTGAAATAAGAATAATTTACTTTGATTTTGTATGATGTTTTTTTGAAAATCACATCAGAATACGTAAGGTCAGTAATTCCTTGTGCTGGAATACTTTCCATGTGTTGATTTCCAATGGTATCTGTAACAGTAGTCTAACAAACGAATGGAATCAATTTTCTGAAGTTCAGTTCAGTTCAATACAGACTGCATGTGTTTCTGAAGCTTCTTAATGACGCCTACATGTTCAGAGTATTACGCAAACCCAATGCCAGCTGAAGGCTTAGGGAACATCCGTATCACTCCTGACCTAGTATTAAGGAAACTAAAATCCTTAAGCCCAGGTAAGTCACCAGGTTGTAACAAAATCCGCCCTATAGTCTTGCAACATTGTGCTGAAGTCCTCTGTTCACCGTTATGCAACCTGTTCAGGCATTCACTGGAGTCACACCAATTCCCAGCGGAATGGAAACAAGCTACTCTCTCTCCAATATTCAAAGGAGGAGATAGAAAGGACCCAGCCTGTTACAGACCAGTCACACTACTACCAATATTATCAAAGGTTATGGAAGGACTAGTGGACGAACAAATGAGGGAGTACATGGATAAGAATAAAATACTCCATGAAGCTCAACACGGGTTTCAGAAAGCAGGTAGTGTGCATCTAATCTACTCATCACATGGGACAGTTGGACATCCTGCTTGGACCGTAAAATACCGGTGCACGTCGTATTTCTCGACTTAGCAAAAGCCTTTGACACAGTGCCCCATGCACGCCTAATCGAAAAGGTTGTGGAAATGGGCTTTACTGACCCACTTCTATCTTGGCTCAGAAATTACCTTGAGAATAGAAAGTTTCGCACCAAGGTAAACAGAGTGCACGCGAGTTGGCGAGTATCCACATCGGGAGTTTCACAGGGGACCATCCTAAGCCTACTTCTCTTCCCGATATTTATTAACGACCTGTTAGGCTCAGTTAGCTCACCGGCATTGATCTACGCAGACGATGCGAAGATCTGGAGGTCCATTAGAAGCGAAGAGGATTCGACTGAGATTCAAAAGGACCTTACATCTATTGAGAAACGGGCAGTGAAAACTGGTTAAAACTCAACCAACCAAAGTGCCACGTCATGCATTTCCTGCCTCATATGACGCAAACCACCTACTTTCTCAATGGAAGTCCGCTCCCTAATGTCTCCTCAGAGCGCGATCTTGGTTTGATATCCACAGAAAGCCTCCATACCAGTCCAAACTATGTAGGGGATGCAGTCAAGGCAAATGCGACTCTTCACTTTATGCGAAGCCAGCTTGGTGCTATAACCCCGAAATTATTTTTAACCCTGTTTAAGACGTACGCGCGCCCACACTTGGAGGTTCACAACGTCATTGCACTCCCTCTGCTTAAAAGAGACATAAATCTCTCGGATCGAGTGCAGAGATGAGCAACCAAATGGGTGATAGGGTTGAAAAATAAACCCTACGACGATAGACTCCAGCTCTTGGGATTATTTCCACTGAGCTACAGGAGAATCAGAGGTGATCTGATTATGGCGTACACCATATTAAACACGCCAAACCATCCCAATGTGAGCATCTTACCAATGCATCACCACCACTCCCCTCGAGGCAATCCTCGAAAGATTGCACACCAAAGAGCAAATACTCAGATTCGTGCACAATTTTTCTCATTGCAAGTCGTCGCAACTTGGAATGCTCTCCCAGCCGAGGTAGTTACAGCCCCCTCAGTGGACTGCTTTAAGAAGAGACTTGATAATCACGTACTCACATACGGACTGTCATCGCCCTCTTGGAAAAGCTGTGCCTGATGCATGTCTTGAGACCTGCTAGTTCTTACCATCGCCATCTCCTCAGGTCACTCAATTAATCTATCTCGCCTATTATCTCTGTTTCCTCTCCCTTGCTTACACTTCGGTCCTCTCTCACAATCCTCACTACCAATTACCAAACTAAATTCATCTATATATTTCTCAGTTCTGAAATCTTATTCATATTATCATTTTAATTTTATCCTTATTACCTTTATTACTCTCCACACTGCAACTTACCATCGATTCCATCCATTCATCCACTACCCAATGAATGACCAAAATATTCTAACACTTTTCCTTTTACTTTGATAAACAACCTTTTGCTGCTACATCATAAATGCACATCGTTTGTCTGAAAACCCAGACTTTTCATCATAACAATTTACATGATTGCTTGATGCCGAAGCCTGAAAAGCTTGTAAAATGGAATTTGCAGAAATGATGTTCCTCAATAGGTTGCGACATATGGAACTTCAAATGGAGCACATCTGTTATCGTATAATCACTGTAACAGGGCGTAACATTACAAAGGAAGACAGAGTGGAGTTGCTGATCAGCAAACATCGACGGTGATGTGCTTGCAGCTTTAATTTGTACATCCAACTGCATAATCGGATTTTTAAGATGTTCTTTATTGCACTCTCCAGTACACTCATTAACTGATGTACATCGACTATTTCAGATTTAATATTCAACTGCATATTAGTGATACGGTTGAAACTACTACTAGTACACCTTACTCGATAAACGGAACGAAGATCGATGATTCAGCAACACGTTAAGATACTCCTGTCCGATTGTCCCAGACCCAACTACCTAGAGGAAGGAGTCTTAATAGGAAGTAGTTTAATGTATTCTACAGGCACCCAGAAAAGTACGGGGTCGACAAGCACAGATCTGAAGGTTATTTATCCAATGATAAAACGCCCTTGGGAGAACCACAAAATAGCGTGCTAAAATAATCCATCAGTCAGTGACAGTAAAGGATTTTTCGGGTAGGAAATGCAAGCTGAAGGTCAAAATAAGCGTCTTTGGAGAGAAAACATAAAACTCGATGTTGCAGGATAAATATAATTAAGACCTTTTCCAACTGAGTTATAGGGATCTAACGCCCATAACAGACGGTGAGGCCGATTACCACAATGTACTGATATCTGTGCCCAGAATATTAGTTTCTGTCTATCTGTTTTTTATTAGTCAGTTGACCAGTCAGTGATATTGGAATTGTTCTCATACGCTTGCTACTCCTGAGAATCACGTTCCGATAATCTGCTGAGTTCCCTACTTTACTATGACAACATGCAACCTGCTTGCCCAGGTGCTTGCAGTATAATCTATAGGTCGGTATTCGACGAAAGATGGTAGATGATAAACGCTATGTTTATCACTGTTTCTTACAAACTTCACTTTTCCTTCTGAAACTTTAAAATGTGGTGAACTGACTCCTAGCTTCTTACTTCAAACTTCTCTACACAATTCAAACTCTGTACACCTTGATACGCATCACAACTGGTTCTTTGTTGTTGTAATCCATTGTTTGAAGACTAGCTCACCAAAATTAACTTTCAGTTCAGTGGTCAGTAAATGTTTTATCTGCTGACTTATCATCACCTTGTCCGCTTTATCATGAACTGTTAAACAATGCTCTGGTCATATATCCAACTGCTTTGCTGCTCTTCCGTTCATTTTCAGAACCTTATCTGCAGTGAACAACCATTAAGACGCTTCCAATACGTAAAATACACCTTACGCGCTCATCAAAGTCGTATCTCGTATCAGGCACCTACCAGTTGACAATTTCTAAAAAATATGTATTTAATAACCTGTTGCATAATGTAAATACTTTGGAAGCAAATTTCTCTGAATAGTGTCTCGTGCATTACTCCTGAATTATACATACCACCCAAGAACTCTGCTGGGTAACTTTGCTATCTGCAGTCGTTGGAAATTTTATTGTATCATAGTAAAGATGCCTGTAAAATGGCGTGTAGCTGCTATTTTAGAAAACTAAAACTTCCCAACCTGACTGAACTACCTATTTCAGTGGATAAGGTATCATATGTAACAGTTGGTCCTTGCCTTTAAACTGGCATACCTGATGGAACACGCCGTTATTTAAGAAAGTTAAAAATTAATAACTGTTTTTATAACTTTCAAACGAACATATTTTTTTGATTGCTTGTACTTTTCGGGTAAGCGCTGGTACAACTAATGGAACTTCAGTTTACTGTTATTTCTGTCAGAATCTGAGGATCTGTTAGTCGACCGTAACTCCTAAACAAACCGTAAAAGAATTCTTAATAATAAATCCTGCAATCATGATTTTGAAGACAGGTAGCTGAACACAATTTTTTTCCCTCAGAAACTAAATGTATCTGAATAAGCGAAAAGCTCAAATACCCTGGTTTACTTTAGTGCATAGAAGCTGAATAAACGAGTTTAAGTGGTTGATTTTCCTGTATTACAAACAAAGACATGAAGTAAAGAAGTAACTATTAAAAATATAGATAAACCAGTAGAAATATATTCAGTCAAAATCACGGACTTGCGCTGTACATTTGTATTT